CACTTTTAAGGGTGAATAAATGACTGTGTTTTTTGAAGTATAATTATGTGTCTCAATGTTCATTTTTAGTAGATTATGATTGGAGCAGAAAGAATATGCTTTACTGAAGAATATGACTGCCCCATGGGATGCAAAGTATGGCTGTAAATACAATTTATCAAGGGATAAAAGAACCCCTTGTTATAAACTGCAGAATTTATTAAAACATTAAGAAGTCAAATCTAGATAATATTAATTAATACCTTAAAAAGACAGACAATCAGGCCTGCACAGTGTCAGAAGAGCCTTAGATGAGATGCTTAGAACATCTCTGTGTAATGGCAAGAAAGAGCCATCTGTGTGCATCCCACCAGCTCCAGAGAGGACTGAGCCCACCTTGGAGGGAAGTAGCACAAGCCAAGTGCCATGGACTATGGTGGGTGCATACACTAGGTCCCTCTCCAGGAATTAGAGAGTGAGCAGCACAGTGGCAAAATTCATGGCAAATAAAGGAGAAGCAGGAAGGGGAAGCCTTATGTTAATCTCACAATTAGAAGATTAAGCCATAAAGAGAGATTTATTTCCTGGTCCCAAGACTATACACTTTTTGCCATTTCCCAAAAGATTTTTTGGGAGAAGGGATGAGGAGCTAGGGTGACTCCCTCCTGGTGAGAATCCTACTGAATGGCCATGACCTGCTGGACCAATGAGTTGTTGAGATTAAGATGCGGTTTTATTTTGCCTCATTTCTGACATCTCTCATGGACAGAGCATCCACCAAGTCAGGCAGGTGCCAGCTGGTGAGCCTGGATTTCTGACACAGCATTCAGAAATGTAACATTACCTTTGAAAGGCAAGAGGCCAAACTGTGGTAACCCCATCAGGTAAAGGAACCAACACTATCAACTCTGTTAAAGGTGATTAGAGTTCATTTTGAACTTTGTGGTTTGGCTTATTCATCAACCTGTTTTCCTTCCCATCAAGTGAATAGAAAGCAGACAAAGTTTGTCCTGGACAAATAACTCCAACAAACCTGCTCCTTCCACAAGTGATCCGGGGAGACCAACAGCCTATCAATCTATCAGGAGGAATCTGGTCATTCATCTGGGGAACAGCTTATGAGAGAAGCTGGAGCAAGACAACTTCCAGAGCTCCAGTTCTGTCTTCACATCCCTTGAAGGAGGGCAAGAAAATGGCTTTTGCTGCATGGATTGATTATTTTTCTACTGGAGGAAGAGAAAAAGCAGGCATTTGTGCTGCTGTTACTAGATGTGTTACTCATCTTTGATACAATATTGGTCTCCCACAGATCATGGAGGGAATGGATGGGGAAGCTCTTTGGCAGGCTCTGCATTATATCTGAGAAATCCCATAAAGAAGGAAAGGGCAAACAGTTTTGCTTCTCCCTGTTGCACACACAGTGCTGCTCACTGCATATGGGAGGACACATGGGGAGGTAGGTAAGAGACACAAGGAACATTTAAGATTTTGTTTTCTTAGGCTTTTGTATAAATGGTTTGCCTTTGCTTGGTGACAATAAGTAGGATGAGAACGGGTGATTGTGGTATTTGTGCCAACTCATGGCTGCTATGTTGTGACAAGTGCTGCCATTTTGTCTATGTAAACACTTTAAGATTGTGTTATGAAGATACTGAAGAAAGACATGCATATGTTTTGTTTAGTACCAAACATATTTTGTTCACCTGACACTTTACAATCACTCAATCCATGAATGCACCTGACTGAGGGAAAGGCAAAATTATCCCTGGCTGTTTTTACTCTCCCAGGATGCAGGAAAGTGGCAGGGAAAAAAAAAAAAAAAAAGAACAAAAAAGAAGAAAATTATTTGGCATGTTTGCACATGTCAAACCTGAAATACTGCAGGGAACCTGCGAGTAAAAGAGGTTTCCTAGTCTATCCATTTTCACAGACAACACCTCTGCAGTGAAAATCTACGGAATACAACCACTGACATAAGAATCTGCTGTGCAGTTCACACTTACTTATCTCTACCAACAGTGTGGAGGCAGAGAACAATATATTTAATAGCATAATAACAGACACCATTAATACTTTAGTGGTTTGGTATAAGATTGCTTTCATTAGCATGTCAAGTGTTTATTTTAGCTTACTGCAAAACGAGCTCCTTACATACAGACACTTACTCACCTTTCCTTGATTGCAAAGAGGGTGATAATAAAGCAACTTACTTTCCCCAATATTCTGTGGAGTTTTTAACATGCCCTGAAATGATATTGCTCCATTACCTCTAGCCAACGAACCAGCCTGGTGAGCTGGAGAAAAATATTACAGTAGAAATATTGCTGAAGTCAGTGGAATAGGTTTCAGAGACTGCCACAAGGGCAGACACAAGGCTGTTATCATTACAAGTTGTACTCCCATCTTCAATCTAAAATGACACTCACAACCAAGCAGAGGAAAATACAGGGGGTTGTTCCCATGTCTCAGTGTATATCTGTTAAATATTTTATAGCTCGTCATGTTACCAAGGGGAAAATAATAACCTATGTTAAATTTGGACTTGCTTTTACTGATTAAAGATACGGGTTGGGCTTTTGGGATTTTCATTTGTTTTGTAGAGATTTGTTTTTGATATTTGTTAACTTTTTTGTGTGTGATTCTGGCCCTTTCCCTTCCCTTTCTTTTTTTTTTTTTTAAATTTGGGGTACTTAAATTGAATTATCTCAAAGTTTAAACACATCAAACCACAAAGCACTTCAGTTTTACCCTAAGGGAAATTCAACCAAATCAACCGCAGGCAGTGTTTGCCGTTGTTGTGTTTTATTCAAGACTGTTTATATGTATTAGCTACTCAGTTTTTCTTTTGAAAAGAAAAAAGCTAGCTTCTTAGAAGTGAAGACAAACCCCTACCTAAAAAAAATATTCAGACATGTAGATGTGGTTCATGTCACATCTTCAGAACTTTCATAATCTTCAAGGCTCCCCATTAAAAGTTCTTTTAATTTGTCAAAACCAACAGCTAACAATTAGACCAGGAGAAACAAAATCCTCTTCTCAGACAAATGTGTGCAAATCTCATTTACTGCAATGGAAATGGCTCACAGGTGTGTTACATTACACTCCAGCCACTTGGCAACTTGACAGGAATTCAGTGTCTGGATCCCAACTTCTTGTCTCCTCTTCCAGAGGCACAGGTAATGCCAAAGAAATCTGATCCAGGTTTCTTCACAGGCCCCTCAGCAAACACTTTAATCACCTATTCTTTTCTCCATCACAACAACTCTGAAGGCTAAATCTGAACTTTCAATCCTAAACATTACAGGTTTGCTTCCTGCCTAGCATATGGGGGCTCTGCCACCAGCTATATCAAATCCAGCAGCAGTGATTATGTTTTACAGACTTCAATTCTACATCAGCAAAATCTACTGCACGGCATCAAATTCTAGGAATTCAGGCATTTTACAGCTCAGGAGTAATGAAATAATTCTACTGCCATACTGTTTACTTTGCTCTTCCTACACATTTATTTGTGCTTCACAAAATGAACAGTAGGTCACTGGGAAAAATGGATAGGCACAGAGAAATAGGAAACTGTATCTAGGGAGCCACAGAAAGAGGGAAACAACATCAGTTAGTTTTTGAATAGAAGGAAAACCTTACAGTTTGACAATACTTTCTCTCTTCCTTTCATTTTGTTTTGGTTTGTTTTTCAAGATACTGATACAATGAAAAGTTTTAGCCACACTCCATGTAAGACTGTATCATAAAACAACTGTTGTTCTGCCTGTTTAGGAACATTGAAGGTGTCACCACGATCCCAGCCGTGGGTTAGCCTGCATAAAAATGTACACGTGGTTTGTCATTGCTGAATTCTCTAATTCAAACATAAAATTGGTATTTTAATTTAAACTGGGTTCAGTGCAGCATGAAAGGAAAGACACTCAGGTGTGATGAAATTTCTTGGGTCCCTCCAATAGCTGTCCCTTCCAGGTGATGACAGCTATTGCTTTAATGACTTGCCCGTAACAACCAGTCACAATGTTAGTGACAGCATGTTACTAGCAGTTACTTTAAATGATAGATGTTAACACTTTTCTGCTCTTTGTGATTCACACCATACCCTAGACAGAATACTTTAGGACTGAATGCACAGTGCTAAGTGAAAATACTGAAGATTGTGGAGCCACTGAGATGCAAAATTAGATAGGTCATTTGAGAAATATTAGGTCAAAAAGAACCCATGATAAGGAGGTGTCATGGATTAAAGATTAAGGTTCATCCTTTTATCTATTTCACACAAGAGGAATTTCTTCAGGATTGGGGTGTTGTGCTCTTCCACATATATGAAAGCAGTGAAAATAAGCCTTTGATGTTAACATCTTATAAACAACTCTTCCAATGAGATAGAGATTAGGAAAATATACTTTGGTCCAGTTTTAGAGCAACACAGACCATGTTTATGTCCATACATATGGACAAGCTTCCCTGAGCAGACTCAAGTGGAGGAAAGTGTCCTCAGAGGAGCAACACTATAGGCATAATGTTAATCACCTGTGACTTCTAACTGCAGAGATGTACTACACTGTGTAAGGTCTAAAAACATAAACATTGCAAAAAGGAAAACAGCAACAATTTCTTGTAGAAAAGGAAAGCAGGGATTTTATTGCTCTGTTTCACAGCAGGTACCTGACCAATTTAACCAACCAGACTATGACCCAAGCCCTCACAACATGGATTACACTTGGGCTTTTTAATTACATTAAGTCAGAACTGGTTAGAGATAAAACAGAAGCAATTTATTAAGATGTATCAGCAATAATCAGTAGCCCAACAGGGCCTGTAATTGTGAATCTACCTTAGGATGAAATATACTTCAGAGGATTTATAATCTCTTTATCTAGGCCAAAAAGAACTCTCCAAGTGTGTGCAAAGAACATTCTTAACTGAAAGTTTTCCAGTCCTTTACCAAGAATTAAAAACAAACTTTTCCTCAAAATGTGAGTTGACTAATAGCCCTGAGAAGTTGTTTGAGCACCTACCTTCAGCATCATCCTGCAGGTCCTCAGGCTGCTCTTCTTTACTCTTTGTGGGAGATGGAGGCTGGCCTTCTATAAACACAAAAAATTATAAATTACATACATTATTTGGAGATGGCTTAATTGTATCAGATACTACCATGTGTGATTCCAGGATTGTACGTTTTATCTTAGCACTACATTCAGTACTCAATGCTTATCTTTCTGCTATTTAAATTATTGCATCATCTCTTATGAAATTTATAATACAGATGCGTCTTTCAGCCTGGACTGGACTTTCTCTGACTTTCACAGGACAAAAGTGAAGAAAGCTCATACTGAAATAACACACTGCTTCACAAGCACTACAGAAAAAATAATCATAATCCCCAACCAAATAATGTTTTAATCTGTAGTTGTAAACATAATATTTATTATACTGCATTATGGAACTGCGGAGAAATAATCTGAACTTAATGATCTTTTTTCTCAGCTCAATTCTCCATTCATTGTTTTACCACAACAAAAGAATATAGACTGAAATTAGTAATTAAATGAAAGGTAGGGAAACAAATTTCACAGATTTCACAAATTCACAAATTCACAAATTTCCTTAACTTTACAGATAGTGAAGTTAAGGAAATGAAAGCTTTACAAGATAGAAATGTACTGGTTGAAAAAAATCCATTCCAGCCTTTCAGACAGTGGGCAATATCAAGATGGACGAAAGGGAGTAAAAGAAGTAATTGAGGCCAATTAAATGTGAGATCTCCCTTACTTATGTGGACTGAAGCACAGAGTGTTTAATATCAGTTGGTTAAACTTTAAATATTATTAACTTTTTCTACAATATTTTCAAAATATCTTGTCAACATAAATGATGGCATTACTGTTTGTTTGCTATGATACACCTCAAGGCACAAACTGGTAACAGAGAAAGCCTGTTAATAAAAAGGGAGACCAAGCTGGAAATTAAGCATAAAAGGTATTCATAAATTAAGACATTTAATGCAAGCAGGTTCCCTAATTAAAACATTCTTTAAACATTGTTGCTTAACCACGAAAGCAGTGACTGACAGACAATTAAAACTCAATTCATTGTGCCTACTGAATGTATTCAACCGTGATGGAAAAATGACTTTCTGTCATTTGACTTTCTGTCAAACCTCCTGATTCCTTGTGGCTAACTGAGGGCGGGGTTGCAGGAGAAACCTAAAGAAAACATACTTTTGTGTGTGCTGGAAATAAACCTTGACCACTCATAACCAGGAAATTTAGGAAGACATATGACCTCACTTTATTCACCCTTATTGCTGTTGCCATTAGAAAATAAGAATCATGGTATTACTTCAAACTGATTAGCAAATTATCACCTGGGAAAAAACTATCTACACATGTTTTATAAATTGCTTAAGTGTTTCAAAAACTCCTAGGTCTCTCCTGCTGTCACAGATAATATGCCACACAACCATCTACTCTTTATGTTGCTGGAGTTTTAAACAGCTTTTGACAATCAGATGCCCAGCTCTCATGAAGGACTTGGCTCTGTTAAGAGCCATATGGATTCTCCTCTTTTATCTTCCACCCTTCCACAGTTACATATATCTAGAACCAAAATGCTGAAAATTTCGAAACATAAGGTGTGAAAGGAGTTAAAGGAACTTGCAGATTCAAGGGGTAGTTGGACTCAATGATCCTTGTGGGTCCCTTCAATTCAGGATACTTTATAAGTCTAAGAATATTGTGTTCATTCAAAAGACAAAATGGGAGCCAATCATTGGCTTTGCATGGAGCCCAGGAACCACAGAAATATTCTCTGCCAATCATACTTATGCTCAAACCACCCAGAAGAGCCATGGACTGGGAAGGTGGCAAGACAGCTCAAAATGTCAGCAAAAATTCCAAAATTTAGATCTGTATGTGAGTAATTAAATTCTATCTCACTTTCTTAATTTTAATCAAAGAGCATTATTAAAAAAAAAAAAAAAAGGCCGAACTGAACATTGCTCTTACAAATTTCTACTAGAAGGAAGTTTACACTTTCTAGAACTACATACAGCTCAGAGCACGAAGAGCCCTTAGCAATCAGTAAATAAAGCCAGTTACTGCAAAGCAGAACAAGCCTTGAGGTTTGGCTTGCTACCAGGTGGTAGACTGCTCCTGAGAGCACTTAGTACAGGACATGTCATGTGTCATGCCATCATGCTTGCCCATCTGAATTTGAAATTCAAATACAGTATTTTGAGGAAAACAAGGGTTTTCAAGTGCTAAGATGAATTTCTTTCTGGAGTGAAGAAGGCAGGAGTAACCACAAGAAAATCCATGGGGAAAAATAAAGGCAAAACCTGCCAAATAAAGACATGCTTTGTCAACCCTTTAAGGGGCTCAGGAGCAATGCTGATAGAGTTCAACAAGAACTGTAATACAAAAGAGATCCTGAAAATAACCAGATTTGTGAAGACTTACTCACGCCAATGCTCTCCCTTTCTTATTTTTTGAATATTTACAGTGGACCATATCAACATATGGCTTCTTTTGTTCAAATGCCACTCTGAACTATCTGCTACGTTTTCTTTTTTTTGTTTGAGAATAATTCACATGAGGGAACTGAATCAATAGGAATGCTTCAATCAACACTTGCCCCTCAACTGAGGAATTTTATCATCTAACCAATCCATGAAGTTTCCTCCAGTCCCACACATCAAATGTCAATCAAGTTAAAGTGCAAATGTCCAGCCAGGTCTTTCAGGATTATTTGAATACATTAGATAATACAACCAACATCTTAATTGACAGCCCAAAGATGGAGGGGGAGGAAGTGTATGTTCAGAGAAGTCAGCACTGTTGCTATCTCAGAAGAAACCATCTTTTTGCACTCTATAAAAAGCCTTCAAAATGCTCACAAAAGGATGTAAAGGCAGTATCCCAGGAGAACAAGATTTCAATCACAATTTCACTATTTTTAGCAGATATCCCTTATTCCAGAGACAGAAAAGGATCTGTGTTTACCATGGTAAAATACAACTCTTAACCCCTTCTGCTCTCCAGCCATGTGTATGTCCTTTCAAACAGTTAGGCAAATATTACAGAAATTTTGTCTGTAAATTTATTTTTTAAAAGAGCACACCTAGACAGGTGTCTGAACTGATATTAAAATCTTTTCTAATTGTGATCATTTGTTCAAAAAGGTTCCTGAGCTCTACTGCTGGGAGACAGACTTCTTCTTTATAGGCTAATTCTGACGGTCAACAAGTCATGCAAATCTCAGTCTGTCTCCAAGTAACCTATTTCCAAAACCCTTCACAACTCCCAAATTTGCCTTGTTGCAAGTGACTGCAATTTTCATCTCAAGAAAAAAAGATAAAGTCTCCCTTCAAAAATCAATCTCCAAGTGTAAGGGTGTGCATACAGGGAACATGCAAAAAAATTCTGTATCTTGGTTGTAATAGGATTTATTAGTTATTAAGTCCTGATAGTGTAAACGAGAACCTTCATCTTGTCATCTTGTTGTTTTAACTGGTGTGGCTTCTAGATAATGAATAGGTGATTCATCAGGACAATCAGGACAGAAACAGGATATACAGCAGGGCATTTATTAGGAACAACTACTTGATGGGAAATGACAGCAGTGTGGCAACAGACAAAGAGATGAGGTCAAAAGGCTTTGGTACCTGGCAGAGACTGAAGCTGAACAGGTTGAGAGAGAATACAGATTCAGATTCAAAATTAAAAGTTTTTCCTGAGTATTTTTTTTCTTTTTTTTTTTCCTTTTTTTTTCTTTTTTTCTTGTTTTTGTTTAATGGCAGTGGTAAGAGAATTGACTTACATCAACAAATAATAACATCATTATGTGCTGACATAAGTCAATTCTCTTGCCATTAGGAAAAAGAACAAAAAAAAGAAAAAAAAGGAAACAAAAACACTCAGGAAAGACTAACTACTGCACCATCTGACCCTTGTCTTGGGTTATATAGGAAATCATTCACAAAGTAAAGCTGAGATGTAGACCTGCACAGGCCCAGACCTGCTATTTCAATATCTGCCCTTTTGACTCAAACCCTTCTAACACCAACTGCATGACCCATGATAACCTCAAAGCACTTCAAATTAAGTGGTGCTGTTAAGCCCGCAACTGCTACAAGACTCAGCATTCAGAATAACAGACTGATGGGCTAAAAGTCTGTGAATCAAATGCCATTAGAAGAGTGGGCTTGAGTGTGTATATTTAAAAAGAGTGGATTATTTTTATTTTTAAATGTTTTTTTCTTATTCTAGTGTGTCCAATGTAAGCAGTGATGTTATATGATAAACTTGCCAAAATGGTCATTTGTGCCTGTTGATTTTATAGAATGAATATAGATACTAATGGATGTTGTCTGGCAGATTGTCTTGGGGATGTTTTTTTATCCCATACCCATTTCTGTTTCTGTTTTTGTTTTGTGTCCAGTGTGGCCACTGCCTCCCTTCCCCTCTTGTCCCCCGGCTCTGGGACTATTGCAATGGGTGAGAGCCAGCCTGGGACTTCCTGTAAGAGCTGGGGAGGACAGTTGCTTCCTTCTGTAGGGTGATTTCATCTCCACGGCCACGTGGCACGACCCCTCTGGCAGAGATACTTGCTGCCTTGTGGTTTTTGCCCACGGTTTTTTTTCTTTTCCTTTGGAACTGTGACTGCAGCTTACTGGTTTGCTCCTCTGCTGCTCAGGGAGCTCAGAGCGAGTGTGTGCAGTGCTGGGACCTGGCAGCAGCCGTTCCCTGCTGGGGGACGCCTGCTCTATGCAGCCCGACCCCGGGACCTGCCATCACCAGTGAGCCATCCATGGGAGCGATTCCCCATCCAGCCCTGCTGCTTTCTGCAGCCCAACCCCGGGACCAGCCATCACCAGTGAGCCATCCATGGGAGCGATTCCCCATCCAGCCCTGCTGCTTTCTGCAGCCCAGCCCTGGGACCAGCCATCACCAGTGAGCCATCCATGGGAGTGATTCCCCATCCAGCCCAGATGCTCTCTGCTGCTGCTTCAGGCCTGCTTGCTACACTGGAACCCGACCCCTGGACACCCCACGGCTTTGGACAGGGCCCTGGAGTTTCTGCTACATTTTGTTTGCCTCCCCTGGCCTCTGCCATTCCAGTTTCCTGCTTCTGAGGTTTCCTGCTGCAGTCCATTCAGTTTCCTGAGTGGCACTGGGACTGCTTCCCATGAGTTTCCAAAGGAAACAAAGGAAAGCCCACTGTCTCTCTCTCTCCCCCGCTGGCCTCACCCTCACGGTGAGGGGGACACGGCCGAGCTCGCGCCGCAGCGCCCTCTGCAGGCGCGGGGGAATCAGCGCACCCGCCCTGCCCGGCCGGGAGCCAGCAGCGCCCCTGCTGGTCATGAGCGGAACTGCAGCCGCGGGGAAAGCGCCGCGGCCGAGAGAGGCCGGGCTGCGTTTGTGCTGCTGCCTGGGGCTGCTGCTGCCACTGGTGTTGTTTGTTTGTACATACATATACATTAGTACAGAACTGCTGTTCCTTTTCCCATATCTTTGCCTGAAAGCCCTTTAATTTCAAAGTTATAATAATTTGGAGTGGAGCGGGTCATATTTTCCATGCCATGGGAGGCTCCCGCCTCTTGTTTTGTAAACCAGGACACAGATGTAATTAGGACATTCTCCTATTTATTTTGAAGATTAATCAAAGAAAAAGAGGCCTTCCTGCCTGTAATGAGATTTCTACACTTCAAAGTGGTAGAAACACAAGATAGACAATTTTCATAATGTATCCATCACTCAGTAATACACCCGTTTGGTAATCTGTTATTTCTTACTTCCAGTTAATTTTCATCTATTCCTAAGGCCTAAACTGGTATGCATTGAAGCCAATGGACATATTCCCACTGCCTTCAGCAGACACCAAACCAGGATCAGGTTGGTTTTTTTTTTTTCTCTAATTTTTGCCACCAGATTTAAACTATGACATTCCGTAACCTCCATCTCACCATCCTACCACATTCTTCGAAGCGCAATTTGTACAGACACAATGAGCCTGCATTTGTGTCCTTGTATTTCTCTGTGTTTTTTTCTTGATTTGATATTGACACTCAGAAACATCCAGCCAAAAGGAAGCTGAGGCACAGGAATTTAGCTAAAATTTAGATTTCAATCTCTGCCAAAGTTCCTATACATGTCTAGTCTGCAACATGTGCTCTCTAGGAATCCAACCTCTCTTTTTCACTTTGAGCAAAAGAATTGGAGGAAACACCCCAAATGGATATGGACAGCTCAAGGAAAAAGGGTTGTCAATATTGGTACCAACTGTTGACTCCATCTGCTGCAGTCATGACCCATGAAGTCAAGTGGAATGAAGAATGATTATACAATGATTAATGACTAATGAATGATTAATATCTTGTAGTGGTGACTAGAAGTTACTTCTCCATTTTCCCCTTGGAAGAGTAAAGAGCAGATATCCTCCAAACTTATAAAAATTTGAGTATAAAAATTAAAACTCCCCTCAATGCAAAAAATACATTTTGTATTTTTATTATTATTTTGTTTGTATTTATAGTTCCAGTAAGCATATGCTACAGTCATGAAAAACTCCATACAAAAACAGATCAAAAGGGAATAGCTTTTGTATATCTGCTCCACTACTGGGGTGGATATACAAAAGATACTTATTTTTATCCCTGTAGGTATTAATTGCTTACAACCAATGCACTGATTCCCAAAATATCTCCAACTGATAAAGAAATAACCAAGGACATGCTCTTGAAGCTCACAGCATCCTAGACCATCAAGGGCAGCTCTGATCTGATCTATCTCATATGCATAAAAGAAAGAGACAGGTAGGGAAATATCTTCCTCAAATTACATAATTCAGTGATAATTTCCTAGAGTATCTATGTAGCTTTACGTAAAGTAATGAAGCTGAGAAGGATACAAGACAAAAAATAAGAGATTGGCTATTAAGTAGAATTGCACTTCCTTTTAATTCCAATTTAAAATGCCTTAAAAAAAACCACACCAATTTAATTTGCATAATCTCCATAAAAACAAGACAAAAAAATGCAAAATAATTTGGCTTCTAAAATACACATGCCAAGATAAATATAAAAAACTAAATTAGAAATGTTAGATGAATACTGCAGATTTGACTGTAGCATTATCTTTGGCAAATGTTTGTTATATAATGATGGGCTTTTTAAAATTTTTTTTTAACTTTTATGTATGTTCTTACAACTATATCAATCACACTAACTATATTAAAATTACTAAAAGATCCTATCCAGTAATCTTGACACCAAAATGTAATTACAATTATATGCAATAAAATCAACAGGCCAGAACAGCCATAAAAGAAGGTGTTAATCCATCAGTATAACACATATCTGTGTATATCTGTTTTCACACCTATGTATACGCACCATTCTTCAAGTATTTCTAATTTCTCAGGTAATTAAGTGGTGGCATAAATTGTCACAATCCATTTGTCTTTAGGACAATCTTGCCAATTTAAGTAGTCAAAATACCGCTTCAAAAGCTTTCACCTCTGTTTTCTGGCTGGTACATCCCTGCCTCTCCCCACGCAGCACTCCTTTCTGACCTTAAGTTTAAAGTCTGACCTGAACTCCTCAAGTTTTCATAAAGAGAGCTGGATGTTCCTGCACAGTCACTGGACCGTGATGAGATCAGGGTCACAGAGACCTTGAAGGAAGTTTGGAAGGAGAGGCAGAGGAGTACAGGGAGCTACTCTGCAAGTGAAAGGAGAAATCCATATGGAACAGGAGATGTTCACTGAGGACCTCCAGATGAGGGAGGGGAAGTATCAGAAGGTGCTGTGGTGGAAGTCTGTTACAAAAAAACTGGTCAAGATCAAGTGGAAGAAACTTCCTTGAAAAAACTAGCAGAAATCTCCTGAATGAAGGCTTCTGTCCTCACAGGAGTTATCTAACCCTTTGTCCTCTCCTTTCCTTGTTCCTCTGGTGTTTCTTCCCCTTATATCTATTCATCACTTCCATTTCATGTCACTCACAAACCCTAAACAGTGACACTCGTTTTAAACAGTAAACTATGAGGACCAGGAAAAAATCCTCTGAATCATTGTCTGACCAAGCTCAGTGCATTTAAGAGTTTGTGGAAGAGTTTTGATACTGTTTCCATTGCAAATATATCACTACCACTATTCAGAATGGCAAATGACTCAAGAATCGCTCCAGTCACCCTTTTTTACAGACAAAGAGACTGAAGAATTGTTATTATTTCCCCTTCATGTTCAGACTAGCTATTGATAAAAAGGAATGAAATATCACCCAGAGGCTCATAAGGTGATGACATTAAAAAAGTAGTCTCAGCCGGTCTTACCATGCACTATTTATCATCAGGGATTCTTCACCCTAATTTTGTGTAAAAAACAGAGATGGCTGTGGTAACATTGGCAATAATTATTAGCTAATCTTGACTAAGGCAATTAATTTCTAGAATCTTTTCAGTTTGGCTTATGCTTCAGATAAGTGATATATTTTAGCATAAAATATTCTTTACTCACCTCTCTCTTCACTCAGCTGAGGCCCTTCTTCATTAGCATCACCTGTCCAAAAAAAAAAAAATTGAAAGGAAAAGGTTACTGGGAATACCAGCAAACATCTAAAATGAAATATTCCATGTTTCAAATTGCCCGTATCTTAGTTTGCCTCCCCCTGTTTAACATTTTACAGCGAAATCTGGAGCTAGACGGGGAGGAAAGTTTTGATACTGGTTAGAATTACACACTAAACCAGAATAGAATCTGAAAAATATAAAAGCTAAAACCAGAGGCATCAGCAGGAGCCGAAACCCCGCAGTGGTGGTGAATTCTCTCCATAGAGACTGCAGCCTCTCTCTCCCTCGAGAGTGAGAGCTGAGAGTGAGCTAGAGGCTGTGCCCCACCCCTTCCCCCAGCCCAAAATCTCTTGATAACTCTGGCCTTCCCAAGAGAAAAACCCTCAGGTAAGGGAGCAGCAGCCAGCTGCACCCCTCCTCTGTGGCTACATCCTTTTTCTCTCTTAAGTACCAGTCGTTATTGTTTCTTAGCAACAAATGGGAGAAAATTTCCTAAGAGAAAGAAAACAAAAGGAAAAAAATCCTAAACCCCAACATACAAGCTTAAGGAGCTTTGACAAGTAATTTTTAAGATAAGAAAATGAAAAATATTGTTAAAGCCCATGGGAATTCCGTCATTGGCTTCAACAGAGCTAGGATTTTCAACTGGAGTTCTGCTATTCTTCAACAAACTGCTCAGAAAACATTTGGCAACATAGAGATTATTAATTATTCAGTTTCCAATAACATGTTCTTTCCATGGAAGCATTTATAATGAAACCAGCATGATAAGGTTTCAAATTAATCTAAGATATGAGACTAAATCAGCAGAATCTTAACATACATATATCACCTGGTCTTCTGTGGAAGTTCTTAATTATAGTTCTGTAAGTGACTTGGAATATGAAATTCCCAAAGCAACAGAATAGTTTCTGAGCTAGTGATAATGGACACAGACAAGAAATCTGATGTTATTAAAAAGTAGGGAAGTCATTATGCAGTATAATTATGAAGAGGCAAAGACTGTTTTTGTGAACTAATTTTGAATTAAAGGCTGGGGGGTTTTTTGGGAAAAAGTACCAAAGCCTTGCTGAAAGGCAATGAAGTCTCTGCATCATTCCTGAAAATGGAAGTTGGGCTCCCAATAACTTTGTGATATGATCTCTGAGTCATTGTGGTGCCTTTGAAAAATGTACCCCCATCTAGGTATGAATCTGAGTTTCACTTTGGCACACAGCAATCCCCAGCCACTTCATGTGTCTATAATTATTACTCTCACACTATTAATCCATCTGGTGGAAGCATTTCCCTGTTAAATATAAAACATTCTCCTTCACTGGCCTTGGTGGGGCTGGCTGAAGTGATAAACACCATGTTTAGCTGACAGAGCTCTCTGCCAATACCAATTATTTGAGATAAAAACCAGTGGTTTAGAAGTCTATATCCAAAATGCATTCACTTATACCCTGAAAAGAATATTAAGGACAGTTTCTTGGTTAATGGTTCTGAATAAGTAAAAATATTTTTTACTGAAGCTCTACATGTCTAATATAAAGCAAAATCAGTGCCAATATTACCATAAATTAGATTTGTTATACCTAGTTTTGTTTTTCTTTTGTTTGTTTAGTTTTTTTAAATTTTTTTTTAATTTTCCTATACAATTTCTTACCCCATCTACAGGAAGCCTTTGAAAGGTTTATTTTGGTTTGAAATATGCACCACAGACAGTCAATCCCAAAGAAAAATTGGATAAAACCACAGGAGAGCCTTAGAGTGAATCTTTGACAGCAGCAAACATTTCCTTAAATACATATTGTCAATATTTCTTGTCCAGACTTCCCCACTGGAAAGACCAGAGGTGAGATCCTCTGTACCTCCCACCCTCACTTGTGAGCTGTTGAAAAATAATTGACCAGCAAAACATGCTCTAGTGTGTATACACATCTACCCACACTTGGTTACTCCTCTGGCCAGAGAAGCAGAACAATGACCTTTCACACCACTCCCCCATTAAAGCCCCGGATTTTAGGAAGTTCCACCAAGATGATTTTGCTAGAAAAGGAATGACTGACCTTGCAGTCTGGAGTGAGAAGAAAACTGACAGTGACTGCCAGAAAGGGTCAGCTCGTTCCCAGGAAAAGTCAGATCAGTATTTAGAAGGCTTAGGAGATAAGAAAACCTTCTAATCCAAAATGTGTGCAAAATTTTCCAGTTTATAAATTCAGGTATACTACATAAAATTAAGGTATTAAATGGGTGACGTGTGGGAGAAGTTTCCACTCAAGTACAAAATAATTTACAGTTGAAAGTCAACCTATGACTGAAAGTCTCCCTCTAACTCCCAGGCTATCGAGGTAACTGTATCTCTAAAGATCAGAGAGCTTTACATTTGGGAGCAAGGTGCTCAAAGCATAAGATTTTGTCTAAGTCACAGGCTCCCTGTTGGTGTCACACACAAAGTGATACCTGTGGCTCTTTCATTGCCCTCTCCCTTGTTATCTGCTGAGCTTTGGGAAATGGAATAATTATACCATATCTGCTCTCACTGACACAGGAGAAGGGGATGCCTTCTGTCAGATCCTTTTGTTTTGCCTTTTGCCTTGCTGGTCAGGTTGTTTGCCTGTCTCCTCAGTCGTGGCATACAAGCAAACACAAACCAGATGGCTAAAATCATCAATCTAAGATTTATGTTAGGAACAGAGAGGTGAAAGGCTCTAAATACCACCACTAATCCCCAAAGCCATTAAACCACCTCCTCCTAGTTGCTCACGCTTCCATTTGCATTCTCCTTCATGTTAACATGCAGAAAGCCAGCACTGTACTAACACTGCACATTGAGAAACCCTTACATGAGAACCAAAGCTGTGCTGCAGGAGGCTGCTGCTTCATCTGCCTTCTGCTGGCACTCCCCAACAGCATTGCATGCTGCTGGCTCCTCCCTGCCTCCCTCTAATCTTTCCTCAGATGCTTAATTGCATCCTTCAGGATTTTTATTTTTACCGAGCATTTTCTGCAGTTCCCTGATTTCCAGATGTTTCCCTATTTCTAGTCAACCTACACGTCTCAGTCTGCTCCTCCTCGCAACCGTGGCTCCATGTCCTGACCACAGCCAGGGGAGAACTGGGAGGGCACTGTGGGAATGGCTAAAAATCCCCTCTGCAGCTTGTATGAACATTCCCCTCTGCCAAAGACAGCAATGAGATGGGCAGAGCTGTACAGGAGGCTGAAATGACAAGTTGGTGATCATAGTGTTGATGTGTGAAAATAAAAGCTCAAACCAAAGGAACCACCCCCCGCTCCCCCCCAAAATGTCAGCACTGAAAGCTTCAGCCATCCTCTTTAGCCTCCTTGAGCTTATTTGAAATACAAAAATAGGGGTCTGGTTTGAAGTGTCTCTACTGTCAAGCATTTCCCTAGCAAGTATTCCATGATCTGCCTGCACTACTTCCATTGGGATTACAGAGGACGAGCAGCACAGCAGACTCACACCTTGGAGGAAAATGGATCCCATTTCACATCAGTCTTGAAAAACATTTTGTGTCCAGTCTCAGAGCAGCCAGCAGTGTGGGCAAGGGTACCCACCTGAGGCAAACCCTCTAAACCATGATAACATCAGGTTTCCAGCAGCTGAAAAGACCAAGCAGGTTCTCACTCTCCATATTTCTCTCTCCCACACCTTTCTTTCAAAAATTTTATCCCAAAACTTCAACCACCTGACTCCATGACTCACCTTCACAGCCTTAGGGAGATTTATAATCGTATTTAGTTTAATCTATTTACAATACCTAGTAACTGAAAAATCACTTCTTTTGGTGGCTTGCAACCACTGCTGATACCCAAAAGGAGCTTCACAACAGTGTGCAGGCTTTATGTCCACCTCAGCATAAGAGTTGTTGTAGCACAGTGAGCCACACAGGAAAATTTCTTGAGGCCCAAACATACATATGAGGCTTGCAATAACCTCAAGTTATTTTGATTGTTTTGATTCCTCCAACTCAGCTCTCCACTGGGGAAATGTGACAGAAACTGGCACAAAAAAGGACAGTATTTTCTTTGAGGAAAAGCAGGTTTGGAAATCTCTGGCAGATGAGATCAACTAAAGCAAGCCTGACTCTTTTCTCCTCTCCTAGTAAAAAGTTATATTTTCTATAAAACCTTTCCTCATCCTCAGTGCTCCTAAGATGAAGGGAAAAAAAAAAAAAAGAAAAAGATAAAACAAATAGATCTTTAACCAAAAAAAAAAAAAAAAGCATTCTTCTTTGTGGAAGTAAAAATAGGACTTCTTCTGGTCCTAGTTCTATACTTTCATCATGCAATCCTGCATACAGAGCATACTACATAAACCTCCACCCGATACTGAGCAAGTTTCATTAAATTTTTTTGTCTAGAAACTTCCACTGATACACTCTGTACATCCTGGCCATACTGCAAGCAGTAGCACTGGTTTCCTTCCTGTGCTGCTTAGTTACACCAGTCTCACAACACTGGAGCCTCACAGAATGTAGAATGTGTTTGTAGTTTTTGAAGCCATATCAAATAGAAATTCTTACTACCAATCTCCTAAAAAGTTAGGCACTGTGGCTTTTTTGTCATCACATCGATGACCTCTTTTATGAACTGCATCACCTGATCTGCTGTAAAACTCATACCATGCAAACCATATGAACCTCAGCTGCATACAAAGAATATGCAGTAACTGCTATTCCCACAGTGAGGGAACTGGACAACCTCAGTCCAGTGAAGGAAATGGTACTCACACCAGGATCAGATTTGGACTTCTATTTTCCAGATGCTTCTACCTTACATAAGAGGAACAAGACACTCCCTGGGGAAACAGGTAACAGGTTGAAAAAAAAAAACAAAACAAAACAAAAAAAAAAACAACAAAAAACCCAACATATTCAGTATTTCCTCTCTGGCCTAAAATACTGAAAATAACAAAGTTTTGTTCACACAAGTGCTAAATTGGATGTTAATCTAGTAGTCACACTAAATGGCATGTTTTGCATA